ATTTTATTTTTATTTATTTACTTGTCTTAAAGATAGTTTGTTCTTTGATTGTGAAGTAACTGGGAGCTTTGACAGTAATTTGAGTGCATTAAATTCATCTTATTCATACTCTCCTTGTTTTACGTGACCTTTACATAGAAATTACCAACCAAAAGGTGTTGTGCAAGATATAAAAACCAAACATTTTAGCATGTGTGCGCAAAACCTCCATCATCCTCTTAACACCGTGCCTAGAACATTGTCTGGGGGAAACAGACAGACCATCGTTACAACCATACTGTGTCTATTTTGTATTTTGTGATGGTTTAATTCAGACAAAAGCAGCTGTAGGTGGAAATAAAGTGGGCAATGTGTGACTCCAATCTGTTTCTGGTGGCCGGTCACTTTTGGTAAGTGCAGTGATAATACCCACTGTATTTTGCACAGGGTCTAAATCTAGTCATAGGCTACTGCTATTCAGTGCCCAATCGGCAAAGAAAGCATAGCTTTGTGAGTGAGGTGTGTCTGACTCCTGCATCAAGTTGTGTGGGCTACTCACTAATTGTAAGGTGACAGATATATGTGTAGGATCTTTAGAAGGCACATATTTGGGGTCACCAAGTCATTCCTAATAAAATTATTCTCATCTTACTTGTTTAGGGGGTTTTAGGAAAATATTCTAGATATTCAAAATAGCAGAAACCATTTTTCCTCCTCATGCTTTTTGATCTCATTAATATGCTGTGGGCCGCCTGTTGGTCGCTCATTGGCCGCCTGTGGCCCGCCCGATAGCCGCCCATGGCCTGCTCGTTGGCCCTCCCGTTGGCCACCCGTGGCCCGTCCATGGCCTGGCCGTTGGCTGCCTGTTCGCCGCCCGTGGGCCACCTGTTGGCCTCCAGTTGATCCATGCTCTAAAGCAGTGGTCCCCAACCCCCGGGTCGCGGACCGGTACTGGGCCGCACAAGAAATCATTAATTATTTCCGTTTTATCTATTATCTGAGTCTGAACGATCTTTTATTTTGAAAAATGACCGCATTCTTTCGGTTACATCTCGGTCACTTGAGCGCCAAAACTGGCTTACTTGTGCGACATATTCAGCCTGCTCAATGAACTCAATCTGTCACTTCAGGGGAAAATGACAACTGTCTTCAAGTTGGCAGATAAAGTAGCTGCATTTAAAGCCAAACTGGATTTGTGGGGACGGCGCGTCAACAGAGGCATTTTGGACATGTTTCAAACATTAGTAGGGGGCTCATTACTGATGCTCCTCAGAAAGCTTTTTGTTCCTAAAGTTAGGGAAGAGCTTAATTCGCTTTACCTACCTAACGAAACTGATATGTTTGGAGTTATTTTATGAATCCAGTATTTATTTATTAATCAATATTTATTCACTAAAGGTTATATCTTTATCATCACTTGTGTAACCATGAATATAAATGGCTTTAATAAAACAAAAAAGTAACTCAAGTAAGTGTTTGTAGACATAAGTGTATTATTCTTGAAAGGTATATTAAAAGGTCTTACATGAAAGATATGAGGGGGATAATTTAAGATTGTGTCACTTTATTCTGACATTTTGGGTATATTTTGTTTTGTAAATATAATGTACAATGACAAAGGTCTTTAAACATGCAAATAATGTGGCTTTTCAAGTGACTAGAGTATCCGTCTGCATTAAACAAATATGTACAGGTTTTGTATATATGAATTACCTACATTAACAGTGCATAAAGGAATGCCACTGGTGCATTTTCATGATTGGACTAAATTATAATGTGGCAGTCAGAAATAAGTTATATATGGCCTTGTTTATCTTTGATGTTTTACTGAAAATAGTAGTGTTGGTGCATTTACTGTCAAATCAGCAGCAGAAGTTCGGAATCTATCAAACTATTTAATTTATTGGTATTTACTGAACATGTGATAAAAAAAATCTACCCTCATACTGTAATTTGTAACTGCCAGATTTGTCTCTAATGCACAGTATCTAAACATCATGAACAAGTTGACAGGTAAAACGTTGTGCTTGTGAAATGTTTAGTTGTAGTTTGGTTTGTTCCTGCTTGGATTTTATTCCCCTAAAGGGGAAAGAAAAAGCATGTACCTTGTGAGTTCCTCACTGTAGTGCAAAGTCAAACACCCCCGGGCCACGGTAAGATTGTCAAGCGTTGACCGGTCTGCAGTGATAAAAAGGTTGGGGACCACTGCTCTAAAGTACGATCAGATCTGCTGCTCTGTGGAAGAAGCTGTATGTAAACACCATCTTTTACTGAATTTGTCCCCTGCCCCAGTGTCTGCAGACAGACATGCACCACAACCACCACATTTTGTTATGTTTGCTCGTACACGGGAGCGTGAGTGAGCAAAAGAAAGGCGGACCCAGATAGCTGACTTCAGTGCAAGCAGTGATTTATTATAAACAGTGCAGTGAATGGTAAAATAAGGCAGGTGGAGATGAACTGGATAACCGGGTGTCGATCAGCAGCAGATAGTAGTACAATGATGAGATGGATAGAGTGGGCCGAGCAACAGCACTGGGGGTCACTCCTGAGCTGGTCGGTGGACAACGGAGGTTACTAAGAAGACAGAAAGCAGGGTATAGTACAGATGGTAACTGTTGACTATGCATCAACCTGACCGGGGCAGACTGGAAGGGTTGAGTGGAGCCAAGGTCCGGAGGTAGTAGTCCGTGGGGGAAGAAAAGCAGCATGGGAGGAGAGTGGCAGCAGGGAGTCCAAATATATAAAAATGACAACAAAAGGAAAAGGTAAAATGCAATTGCAGCAGTGAGGGCCTGAGAAAACTAGAACGAACTGGCAAGGGAGTGATGGGTGAGCAGGGTATAAGTAAGGGCAGAACTAATAAGGTGCAGCTGGTGACAATCAAGGGATGTGGTGCAGGTGTGCCAGGTGGTGTAATCAGGGGCTAAATAAGAGAACAACGTGAGGGAGGTGAGAGAGTCAGGTGCAGCTGGGCAAACCTGACACATTTCAGTAAAACTGGCTCAGAAATGGTAAGATTTTAAAGACAAATGTATAAAAGAACATTAAAACTTGTCATGGTTTAAAAGATTATTTTAATATATAGGTCTCAATATGTTTACCTTGGCCCTCCCGTCTCCCTCTCCTATGGTAGTCTGTATGTGTATCAGACAGTATGGTATTGTGCCTAATTAGTTTAAGTTTAAATCACAGGCTGAAGTGTGTTTTTCTATCCAAATAAGACTCTATCTCCTGTCTTTTCTACTGACCTCCACTGGCTCACTGCTGGATCGCTACTCTTTGATCCTATATTATTAAAAAGGCGGATCCCACAAAATTTAATAAAGCAGTATCACATTAATGTTGGGACCATATTCTTATTACTGAAGACAAACAGATGATGAGAGGAATATCTCACAGTTTACAGTCCATTTCAATAAGACATCAGCTGAGCTGCTGGGAGAGAGAGTATTGCTCTTCCACAGCAAACAGAGTTAAATACATAATTTCAGAGTTTGTGGTTATGGTGTGAAGCCATTTAGGTGGGTGTTTAAGAACTGATTGAGCCTGGCAGCGTGAAGCCAGACCAATGAGCAGGCTATTTACTGGAGATAATGACTCTATTTTCAGCCTCTTAAAATCTCCTACCTATGTGTACATCTGGCTCTGTGGATTTCAAATGAACCATGAGTCTGCACTCGAATGGCTTATTTTTCAACTTTCTGTGTCAGTCTCTGTTTAGAGGAGAGAGGCGCTGCATTCCTCCCACACTCACAGCTGAGCAGAGGGGGAGCCCAGGATGTGATGTGCCTCCATAGTCCAACAATCAGCCAGTAACAGACTTGCATCAATAGTTCCTCAAACACAAACTTGCAGAAATGTAACATTTTCATTGCTTTGCCCACGATCCACTCACTGAAGTCCCTGTTTTACCCATAAACCACTGAAAAGATGTCTGTCGTTTTTCTTGAATAACTTTCAAACTAATAACGATATCACAGTCATTCCAAATGTAGGTTTTCATGGTTTAGCAATCATATTACGAGGGTCACACTATCATGGGCATAGTGCTGTTTAAAAGTGGGTTCATGTTATGGCCTGTTATTTGAGATCACAGCGAGAGGACTGAAACATAGCACTAGTGTTGCTGAATTAATCTAAAACTGACAAAGGATCACAAAGGATTTAAGCTGCTGATTATCATAGGTATTGGAAGGGGGTTGGTAAGGGTGCTGCAGCAACCCCTAGTGGTGGCTGCAGGTGGTAGCATCTTACACTAAGCAATTTAAAGAAAAAATTTAAACCCTAAAATGAGATAAAATAAAATAAATGTTTAAATTGTGGACAGAGTGGTTTGAAACTGAGGAATATGGTTGTGAAAAAAATAGTTTTTAATAATTTATTTAGGAAATGATTTGTTGAGAACACCCCTCCTCATGGAAGCTTTCCACAGTTAGCAAGTAACAGCAGCAAGCAATGAAGATTCGCTTTGGTGGGCAGAGATGCACAACCACAAAGTGATAAATTTAGCTTGACTGATGTTTAGGCCTTCAGACACCTGTTTAAGGTCAGGAAAAGGTTGTAACCTTGACTTGAAGCACCAGACACCACATGTTTACTTTATTAACATTTAACCAAAACTATGATCTCTCCCTAACATTAACCAAAGTCCTTTTGTTGCCTAGATACAACCACACAGTGGACTCAGATATGTTTCACATAAAATTGTTTTGCAAGACAAATGTATATAAGAGTAATCCCAGAGACAGTTTTCTGTGTAGACCCTGAGTGGGACATTTTCTTTGCTCAAAAGTCAAAGCAAAATGTGTATACTTGGGAGGCTAAATGATGAAAATCACTTCTGATTTGTCTATCCTTTTGAGTGATGTGAAAGAAACTGAGGAGGTGAAGGGATAAGAATGTTAAAGGGTTTGTGGCATGCAACACTAGCAACACCCCAGTCTTAAGGCAGAGGCTACCAGTTGTCTAATAACAGCAGTAAACACATCTGTGCTGCTCTTACCAAAGGCTGTACTGACCTGCAGTAGGTGTACAGGTAGGGCTGGCGGACGGCCTGCAAGGGCGCCCAGATGATGAAGCCCAGCAGGGCAAAAGGCAGGGAGGCGAGGAGCAGGAACAGGTAAAGGGGTGCAGAGATCAGGATGCACAGAGTGAGGAAGGAGCAGGGGTCCTGGGAGCGCTGGCGCTTCTCCAGCGAGGTGGCCACGCAGGAGGCCAGGAGCCGGTCCAAGAGCCAGTAACAGGGGAACACCAGGCTCCACGACAAGCCGTCCAGGAAGTGCAGACAGGCGCCAGAGTACGGGGTGGTGTGGAGGACCATCTTTCTTTCTTTCTCTCTCTGTCTTCCTCTCTATCACTTTCTCCTCACCTCACCTTGCACGCTCTGTCCACACCAACATAAAAGCCAGTACAAATGTTGGAGATTACATAAGCAGAAAAATAATCTGATTCAACACTACATGGTTCACTGATTTTTATCTTCACATGCAGGCCTGTCTCAGCAATTACACAAGGGGGTCAAGGAGCACACTGGAGTCAAGGGGTTACCATGATGAGAGCTTTCCTCTTGATGATGGGTCTATGATTGCAAGGAGCTGCAATGTCCTCCGGAAGGCGCCGCCATTAAACATCACTATTTCCTCAGGATCTGGAGAAAGGGAGCAGATCGATAGATGGGGGGGTTCAGGTCAGTGTTAACTTACTCTAATGCAAGCACGCCGTGAGCCAAATGGACCTCATAAATATCTTCATGAATGTATGCAAAAAACAAACAGGTGCTCGTATGTCTACAGGCAAAAACATCACAGCTGTGCTTTGTCTTCTGTAGAGGAACATTCTGTGTCAGTGCATTTTGTTTTTTGATATATGTTTTTTAAGACATTCAGGTTTCCAACACAAATACTTCATAAACTGTAGTGGATTGAATTAAGATTGAAGGAACTCTTATACAGATGAAGAGGGATGAAATGTAGTGAAACGGATCGCTAATCAAATCAGTATACATAATTAATATCCTTTAGTTCATGTATCAGTGTTTGTGTTAAGATTCTGTGATATTGCTGTCAGTTTTAATTTTCTGTTAACAAAACTAGTAGGTCTCAACTTAACTAGCAAAACTAGCAAACTAGCAAACATCCAGGCACAAGTGAAAACCAAACTGTAGCCAGCCTGGGTGGAAGCCTTCATTTAACTGTTTCATTTGGTCTCTGTACAAAGGTGTGTACTGTGCTGGAGGTGTAGGTAAATGTAAACACACAACTAACAGTAGTGAAGTAGCTCAGCCACTGTGTACAAGCCTGCTGAGGTTGCTAACCTGTTAAAGCATGTACAAAGAGTAGCTCTACAGTCACAACAGAAATAACGCTCCCATCTTGTTTTAATCATTAAGCTCTAGTTCCTATGAGTACAGGCAATTAATGGTAACAAAAAGGAACACACTCAATGTGACGCTATCAAAAGATTCTTTTTTCCTGCTTTAGACAACTTAGTCAGACCTTACTGTCATCAAATGCTTTTCTATGGACTTTAATACCAACACAGTCTAGTGTAGGATGAGAATCAATCCCACCAGCATGAATAAATAATAAATAGATTAATTAATTGATACCGACAGCCAGGGGGTTTAGGAAGCCACAAAGAGAACTCCAGCCTGACCTCATGTGTCCCACAGCGACCATCAGATTGACACTGCTACCTCACTCTTTTACACTAACACGCTGTCTCATATACAGGACGACAAATGACCCCACACAGCTGAAGCTCACCATGTTTTGTCCACACGTTGCATTCAGGCCTGCTGTATGCACGAAAGACAGCTGACTGACAGATGTGGGCTTGTCTGGTAGATTAGAAAGTCAACAGACACTGCTTCACTGAGTAAACACAGCACTGTGTGATGGTCTACTGAGGACTGATGTTGTGACCTCCCGTATAGTGAAGATATGACTGTGATGGTAAGAGTTTCACCCACATTGAATGAACAGAGGAATGAGCAGGCAGAGAAGGTTTACCTCCCAACATAAGCACTAATCCAGCACAGATCCACTTGCTGCATTGATGCCTGGCATTTAAGTGCAGTTTGCAGCTGTTCCTCATTAAAATAAGCTATTTATAGCTCAGTGTTTTAGGTTTCACCAGAAACCCTAGTCCTAATTGTCATTTGGATTGTTCCTGGTCTTCAAAAAAAGTTTATCTCCCGGTGTGCACAGTTTACAGTAAACAAGAGAACCTGTCCCATTAATAAACATGCAGAGAAAACACCAAGGAGTTGGTCCACAAAGAAAAGAAAAACGATTTCTGCTTCCAAGTTGGAATGTACAAACAACAAGAAAAGGTTAATGTTTCACCTAAGGTGCTTCAAGGTCCTCCTTACTGAAACTGGACAATTTCTTAGCGAAAGTCATACATTGTCAGTGCCACATAACCAGAGTCAGTTAACAATTTAGGATCTCATTTTTGTTTTCAGTCGCCCAGAAACAGATTTTTTTGTTTTTTGGCAGCATTTTGGCCATAGACCAGTGTAACAGAGCAGGTCAAAACAAACAGGACGCTTTCATTAACACATTCTTACCAGGATGTTTGCATTATTTACATTTAATCCAATATTTTAAAAAAGATCTTGACTTGAAGTAATTATCTATCTATCCATCCATCTATTAGATGGACAAGATAAACACCAGATCTTTGGCTCAGTTCAACTTGGGGACTGGAAACAGAGAAACAACTACTATTTAATTAACTGAAGCATCAGCACTGTTGTGATTACGGCACGTTGGCTACATGTCCCTCCTTCTTTGGAAGGCACGAGCGCCTACGGTATATGGTGACACGTGGTGGAGGGTTGGTGACCAGCTGAGAGGGGAGATGACCTTTAACTGGCTTTGTTTCCTCGATGCTTCTTTTATGATTCTGTGTTTACACTAAAGGCTTCCACTGTTCAAAACCTTTTATTTGTAACCTGTGAAGAATTCTCTCAGGAATCACAGATGCCATCAACAACCAAACCCAGAAAACACCCATCGGTCTCAGCCGCTGCTGTACAGAGCATCAGTACGCCCCGACTCTGACATCAGGTGAATAGCAGCAGCAGTGCTTACACACACGGGCTTACAGGGAGAGACAGAAGCACATAGCAATGGCACACAATCCAAGGGAATGTTGGCTGGCTGTGAGAGACCAAACACAAACATTTTCAGGGATAAATACATGAAAAAAATTCCAAAGGCATACAGTGAGGAACAGAAGTATTTGAACACCCTGCGATTTTGCAAGTTTGTGGTGTGGTTCGGGGTCTTTCATCTTTCAGCTGCCTGCGTGCATGTTGGAGGTTTAAGATACCTGAGCATGTAATGTTAATTTTTACCTGTGTTCATTGAATAAATCAGCACTGTTTTGAAGTTTCTTGGACTGTTTCTCTCAGAGTTAGCATGGTACAAGAACCGAATGCAACAACTGTATGGTCCATCTAATTCCAACCTACAGGCAGAAACTTAAAGCTGCGAAGCCTGTAGTCAAAACAGTGAAGAGCTGGACTGAGAAGTCAGAGCTACAGGCCTGCTTTGACTGCACAGACTGGAGTGTATTTGAGACTGCAGCTACAGACATGGACAAATTCGCTGACACTGCGACATCTTATATCATTATTCTGTGAGGATGTGTGTGTGCCCAAAAAGACCTTCTGCACGTACAACAACAACAACAACAACAACAACAACAAGCCCTGGTTTACAGCTAGACTCAAGCAGCTTCGTCATGCCAAAGAGGAGGCTTATAGAAGTGGGGACAGGACTCTGTACAGCCAGGCCAGGAACACACTGACAGGGGAGATCAGAGCAGCAAAGAGGAGCTACTCTGAAAAGCTGAAAAATCAGGTTTCAGCCAACGACCCCTCGTCTGTGTGGGGGAGCTTGAAAACCATCACTGGCTATAGGAAACCCACCCCCCCACCCCCGCTGTGAAGGACTGTCAACAAGCAAACGAGCTGAATGTGTTCTACTGCAGGTTTGACAATCAACACTCCCCCCTCACCCTTCCCACCTCAAACCCCGCAGCTGCTCTCCCGACAATCACCATCCTTCCCTCCAGCCCCCCACCTCTAACAATCTGTGAAAAGGATGTGTGTGGCCTCTTTAAAAAACAAAGGATCAGAAAGGCACCAGGCCCAGATGGTGTGACCCCGTCCTGCCTGAAAGTGTGTGCTTCAACACCATCATCACAGACATCCTCCACTCCAAACTGACCCAGCTCACTGTCCCTGTCAGTGGATTACTAGCTTTCTGACAGACAGGAAGCAGCAGGTGAGGCTGGGGAAAACCACATCCAGCACCTGGACAATAAGCACAGGTGCCCCCCAGGGATGTGTGCTCTCCCCTCTGCTGTTTTCACTCTACACCAACGACTGCATCTTGAAGGACCCCTCTGTCAAACTCCTAAAGTTTGCTGATGACACAACGGTCATTGGTCTCATCTGAGATGAGGACAAGTCAGCCTACAGGTGAGAGGTTGAGCAGCTGGTCCTGTAGTGTAGCCGCAACAACCTGGAGCTGAACACGCTCAAAACAGTGGAGATGACAGTGGACTTCAGGAAGAGCCCCCCCCACCTTACCCCCTTTCACCATACTTGGCAGCACTGTATCAGCAGTAAAGTCCTACAAGTTCCTGGGCTTCACTATCTCCCAGGACCTGAAGTAGACGCCCAACATCAGGACCATCACCAAAAAGGCACAGCAGAGGCCAGCTCAGGAAGCTGCCCTGCCACAGTGAGGGGAAACTATGTCACTGTGGACATTGCTTTTTTGAAGTGGCTCTTTAAAACTGTTAATATTTTGTTAGATGTGTGCATCTGCCATTAATGAATCCCGAGTGCCACATTTTACATCACAAATAGGTGAAATTTTGCAGCTAGTGTCCAGTATGAATACCATATGATGAGTGGTGCTGTAATCAGAGAGCAGTGTGGCAGCTTGTCTGTTAATCAAACAAAAACAGTGTCATTTTAAAATGACCTTTGAAGTCTTCCGGTTCTTGTACCATGCTAACTCTGAGAGACGAGGCAGTCCAAGTAGCTTCAATACAGTGCTGATTTATTCAATGAACGAACACAGGTAAAAATTTACATTACACGCTCAGGTATCTTGCACCTCCAACATGCACGCAGGCAGATGTAAGATGAAAGACCCTGAACCCACCAGGCCTATACATTATATCCCCTCGGTTGGGCTAGCCCCATACTACACAGAAACGTCAACCGAGACGTCTCTGTT